CAAGATGGTAATCGAATATCTATTAATCTTTTAGATATAAAAAACGGAGGTGGACTTAAAAAACCATCAAAAGATGTAATTTTGTTATGCACAATTGGTGAACTGGTTTTTAAAATACACAAAGACAAACTTCCAGCAAATAGTCTTATTGAATTTTTAATAATAAAAGCATCATCTAAAATAAATATCAACAATTACTTTACCAGTCTCAATATCCATATTTTAGAACAGTCTCCTTTAAATAACCACCTTCTTCAGTTGATAAAAATGATTTTTAAAATTTTCTTTACTACATGATTAAACTATCACCTGAAAAATCTTAGTCAGAGGCAACACAGAATACGAAGCCATTTAACTAAAGTCATACATTTCAAAAACCAATAATAGAACATAGAAAATACAATATATTTAAATTTACAAAAAAAAAAAAAAACTGATGCATTTTAAAACAATGTGTATATATAATTTGTTTTTATGTACTTTCAAACATTAATATTTAATAAATAGGTACTTAATAAATCTTTTAATAATTTAACACAAAATCTACTATGTTTATTGTCAGTATTTTATACATGGGTAATATCAGATACCTACTCTATATGAATAAAGACTACTAGACTAGTAAGTAGTATTAACTATTAAGTAATATCTAGTAAAGAATTATACTTAATATTATTTTTTTTAATTATTTATGATTTTATTATTATTTAGATTTCATTATGAAAACACTCTTGGAAAACACGACTATTTGTTTCTCTCATCCATGATAATTTACTACCAAGTTGAGGGTGAATGACCTAAATGATGGCCCCAATGTATTGCACGTTAAGGTATAGGGAATGCGCAGTCCATTTATATTATGTCAATGCCTCGAAACCTCAAAAAATTTTAACACTTTATCCATGGTTGATAAGCCCGATGCCCCGATGTTTTATCTTATCTATATAAATATATTATGATACAGCAGTTTTCTATACCGTATTACACTGGACAGTCGCGTAATTATAACGTATTATTTATTTTATTTAAACATAACTTAACAAAAAAAGAAAACAGCTTATGTGGTAGTAACTAAAAGTGAGAGTTGAGAAACCGTCTTTAAACCACTACTTTTATTCTAATGGTTTTTATTTTATATAATCTGATGAAACATCTTTAAGTAACATGATTTAACGTTCATAGTAATATTATAAAGCTATTTTATCATTACAACGATACATTGTTATTATTCTATTTTATTTAATTTTTTTTATTTTAAAAAAGAAGTTTAGATGTTAAATTTAATAAATAACAATATAAAAAGAGAACTTACATAGCTTGTGGAAATTGAAGTATTTTTTTCTAAGTATGATGGCTTGTTAGAGTTGTTTTGACTGGTTGCTATTTGTTAAAGAAGGCTGTTCTGCTGCTGACTGCTCTTGGAACTGCTGTGGACTGCTGTTGCTTGAACTGATAACGATAAGCTAAGAAATTCTGTGTTTTATACCCGAAAATAGCCCCTCTCTGTCCACATCAGAAATTTTTTTTTAATGGATTTAAACATTTTAATATATTCCATATTCTGCTTTCATATTATAATGGCATTGACATAAATGTAAATTATATTAAATCCTGTTTGTAATAATTTACATTCATATAGTGTAATATGAAAGCAAGTTATGTTAGCAACAATTTAAATTCATATAATGTAATTTGCTGTTGTACCTCTATGTACATGTTTCGATCGGTTTCTGTAAGGTAAGGTCATTGCTATGGAAATTTGAATAATAAATTATTGAAGTAGTGACAAAATCTGTGTATAAAAGACAGAGGGAATTCACTAATATTCACCAGTCTTCAAGATTTCATCCCAGGACAAGCAGCTCAGTTCAACAGAGATACTACCAAAAAAGATGTCGTACCGTACAATTGCTTAAACTGATTCAGAGGTTAGTAACTACTTAGTAAATATCTTATAGCCAAAGCTAATTGGTGTCCAATTGTAACACTGCTCAACGCTATGGTTATAATTCTTAAAATAATATTTAACGTCTGATTATAACATAGTTTAAAAAACTATATAGTAACTAAAGCATATTGGAGGTCAGTCGTAACATTACTCAACGCTTTGGCTATAATTCTTGGAACATAGAAAATATATAATAAAAAAACAGTAAAAAATAATATACTATGTTTTATGTTTCATAGAATGAACATTTCAGCGAATCAATTGATATGAGACCGTCTTTTTCAAAATCAAAACCTGGCCTAAAACGTGCTGCAGAAAAAACAAGTGCGAAAAAACCTATGAAAAAAAGCAGAATAAAATGGTAATATAAGTAATATATTTTTTTTATAATGATAGCATAAATAATTTAAATTTTTATAGAGTACGTCATACAGAGATAATGTTACCGAACGTTTGAGATCAGAAGAATTTGATGCCGAGGTATTTAATTCACTGACATTTAGACAAGTGGATGGAATTGTAACAATAAAGACGCCTTTTGAAGAAAAAAGAAAGGAGCTTTGGGTAATTAGCCACTATAAGGTTGCTAACATTGAGAATGTGCCAGTAAAAGACGGGTAAAGACATGGGTTTAAATTTTAAAAAACTTATTGATGAATCTGTTTTTTTTTTTCATTGATTTTATTTACTTCTTTTGTTTTTAAAATAAAATAATTTGTAGATGGAAGTTCAGTGAAGCTACTGTAAGATTGTACACGAGCGACGAATCAAAAGATCAAACGCTTCATACTAACCTTAATGAGACAATGCAAACTATATTTGATAAATTACTAACCGATCCGAAGCGTCAGACTATTAAAAGGAAGAAGAATGTTTCATTATTTTATGAAAAAATGAGTTTCATGTAATAAACAAGATATTATTATACATGAATGTTTTTTATTTATTCAAAACTTAAAGGTTTTGGAAAACATAAACCTATAAACTATGGTTGGTTGGAAAAATTTAAAAATTATAGTAATTTAAAATACTAACAAATTTAATCCACTTTTAAAACATAATATTAAAACTATTATTTATGATTTAAGGTGGCATGTAATTAAAAAAAAGAAAGTTTATTATTCAATAAAAAAAGTTTTATTAAAAAAAAAAACAATAATTAAACATATTTATATATTTTATAATATTAGATCTTGCAAAATCATATCGGACAATGTGTTAAAATGGAATTGTAATATTTCATATAGAAATGATGTGTCATCGTTCTGTAAGTGATTATAATAATTAAAATCATAGTTTTGAATATATTGTTTGGTAAATTCGTTCCTCTGACAGGTGGACGGTAGACCACGGACATCATTTTTAATTAGGTCATATGCAGTGTTGAAAGTAATTTGATAATATGCTAAACGTTTTTGCTTGTTTACTACATATAAATCTATCAAATTCTGTAATTGTCGAAGTCGGTACAAATCTACATGTGACAAGGTTATGTATTCCTCATTTAGATGTAGAGTAATTAAACTCTGTTTAACATTTGTTGAATATGAAAAGGAATCGGTGATTTTTACACGCCTCACCCTAGTATTTAAATTTTAAATTATTAATAATCGAATTGTAATTAGGTTCAGACATCAGTGTAAACCATTCTTCTAAACTTAATGTGATAATTTTCTTTGTAAGTTTACATTCCAATAATAAAATTATTGAAATCTGCTTGTTAATTAGTAATCCAACTGTAATACTTTTACTGTTAAAAGCCCGGATGTCGAATGTAGACTTACAGACAATTATGGTGAACTCATAGTGAAGTTATTTTTATCAAATTAAAAAAAAATCTTTTTTATAAATAAGAAATGGGATATAACTGTTAGGACTTATACATTTAACTGTTAGTTTGTTCCCTTTGCAGTCATATTATATACTAAAAAACTCTTTGGAAAAAAATGCAAAAAATTAGATAGCCAATGAGTGCGTACAAGAGAGGGAATTTACATATACTTACTAACCTGTTACCTGAAAAACATATTAAATTATCTTATACGCACTAATTCGCTAGGACTGTATGTCCACGAGATATTAAATCGAATATTAACACATTTAAGATAAAAAATTCAATTTTGTTTTATTTTTTTTTTATCCAATACAGCAAATATTATAAGCAGCATAAATAAATATATGTATATATAAACATTTAAAAAAAACAAACATGATTTAACAAATGGTATCGTACGAACCGGTTTCACAATTACAAATAACTTCGGTTTTGCAATATTTACTTAAGACTGTTTGAACAAACTGATTTCCTTTCATTAACAATACAAATAAACATCTAGGTGAGAATCGAGTATGTTCTATGAAACAATTATCACCGATTTCAAAACTATGTAGAATTATTCCACACCAATGACATTGAACTGCATCGTCGAGATTGATATAGTAAAAACCACATTCCGAGAGTTTGTACTTATTCTGTCCGGTATTTGAAGGGAAACTTCTAAAAGTTCGTAACCTCGATACAAATGTAGTGAATTCTGGATACGCTGGCGTTGAATTAAATCGTATTTGATCGACCAATGACTGGATATCGTTTGTGCATTTTTGAAGAAATTAAATAACTTATACAATTTAATAAAACTTTGAGAAAATAAAGAAAAATGAGACACGACTTGAGTGAACGATAGATCATTAGTAACTGAATATAATAATCAACTTGAAAAATTATTGTAAATTTGTTTATCAAATTTTAGATAAAAAAAACAGTGTAACCAACACGAGTAAAAAAGAAAAATATTAAATATTTTTTTTGCGTGAGACGAAATTTGAAAGACAATCAGTGTGAAATTGTGTTACACGGTAAATTTGAGTGCTCCAAGGGGACATTCCCCACTTGAACTTTTTTTTTCCCTGGAAAAGCTGGCTGTGAACATACAAATATAATATACTACTATTGTACACTCATCCCACACAACGAATGAGGTTTCTTGAAGAATTTTTCCAAGAGGGCCATTTTTACGAATCGGACAAACTTATTCTGTATCAAATAATACATTTAAAGGTAACTTGAAAGTCGAGTGAGCAGTCTGCCGCCACTAAGTAGAGTTGCTGCTATACCAGATGAAGCTACTGCTAATGCAACTTTACCTGAGGATCTAATTTGAGCCAACAACAAATTAAGTAGGAATGTTTTTCCTGTACCACCCGGAGCAGCTAAAAAAAATACTCTTCCTTGATGATTCATTACGCTTTCTAAAATAACATTAAAAGCATATATTTTATCATTTACTAATTTTGGTAAATTGATTTCTACAAATTTTTGTAATCGGTTATTATCGTAAGAACGCAAAATTAAGAATTCAAAAGGATCAGATGTATTTTCATTTCGAACAGGTGACTTCATTCCAAATTCTATTAAATACACGCGTACACTTAATTCACGAAAAATAATAACTCAAATCAACAAACATGCCCGATTAACCAATAGCAACCATAATACACTATTATTATTTATAATACAACAACAACTTTTTATTATTTAGTTTATTTTTTTCTGGATAGATTGCGCCACTGTTGTATTTTTTACATCCATATTTCCTACTTTTCTGGAGGATTTTTCTAAACAAAAGTGGTACTATGACCTCCAGCAGACTGTCAAGTAGAACAGTAAAAAATTTCAGGCAAATCGGTTCAGTAGTTTTCTCGGTAAGCGCGGTCCAAGAAAACCCTTACCATATTATATAATAGTATAGATAGATGATATGTATAATATATTGAATCAAAAATAGTAGGTAAACAATATTTTAAACAGAAAGTCGGGTGTTAGTTACATAGTTGAAATAGTAGTACCTACAATGATAAGATATATTTTATACAAACAAACAATATCACTTCTTTTCTTATCATTTTTGAAATTTTCGAAAATTTACACTTTTTACATGATTTCGACCGTTTTCGAACCTTTTTTGTTCATATTTATATTTGATTCACGTAGCTCGCGATCTCTCGAAGCTGCCGGTGTGCGGTTTATATACGTGCGCCGTCCGTAGCCGTCGCAATGTCGATCGCAAAATACGTTCCCGGCCGGACTTTTTTGCCGATTTTTTTCATTTTCTCCGACAGTTTCGTCTTTTCGAACGTCGTTCGTGCCCGAATAGTGTAGTTGACGTCTTTCTAATGCCGTATATACCTATACGCTTTTCTTACGAAATCGGTCGGTTTGCTTCGCAATCGCGTTTAGAAATGAGGTCGGCAACCGACCGACCCTACGCGAATATATACATGTATATACGTGTATAATTTAATTTTTGCCTATTGATTTAATAATTAATAAGCTGTTGGTCGGGGATAGAAAAGGCCATCGGTTGTTCCTGCCTGTCGTAAGAAGCGACTAAAAGGGACTTGTAGGGGGGCAGCAGCCTCTACAATACTGGGTGTAGGTGCAGGTAACCATAGACTTATAGTAAAAACTGCTACACACCAGAAACAAGTCGACGGATATGGGAGCTATATAACTGGCGACTTCACTGCGACGAGGAAGGCAACGGGATACCACCTCATTATTTTCCCTAGTCAAACAACGGTTTTTAACATCGATTCAACAATAGACTTTAGCAGAGTAAAAAATATTTCCGGAGGTAAAATAGTTCCCCAATCGGAAGTGGAAAGAATGAAATTAGAAATACTAGGTCTATGTGAGACAAGATGGCCAAATAGCGGAGACTTCTGGTCAGGAAACTATAGAATGATTCATTTCCAAGGAAAAAATGGACAATGTGGAGTTGGTGTAGTGCTTCATAAAACCTGGGGAGTAAAGGTTACAAACTACATCATATACAGTGAAAGAATTATTATGATTCAGTTAGAAGCAGAGCCAAATGATCTATTCATAATACAAGTATATATGCCTACATCAAGAGCTGATGACGAAGAAATTGAGGAAGTATATGCTGGAATAGAAGAACAACCAAAACTCACAAAAGGAAAAGATAACGTCATTATAATGGGTGACTGGAATGCAGTAGTAGGTGAAGGTATTGACGGAAGAGAAGTGAGAAAATATGGACTAGGTCAAAAAAACGTAAGAGGAGACCGACTTATAGAATTCAGCAGAGAAAACAGTTATGTGATTACGAATACACTATTTAAAGAATACAAGAGACGACGATACACATGGAAAATGCCCGGCGATACAGGAAGATACCAGATTGACTATATATTAGTCAAGAATCGGTTTAAAAATCAAGTCAAATCTTGCAAAACTTATCCCTGAGCGGACTGTGACAGTGACCATCAACTAGTGGGTATGGAATTCTGTTTAAAACTAAAAAAAAATAGCTAAAATTAAAAGAAAGCAAACAAACTATAATCTCGAAGAGTTGAAAAACGTGGAGGTAGCTGAAGATCTAAAGAAAAACATGGATAAAATATATAAAAATAAAGATGAACGGGAAGAACCAATAGACAAAAGATGGGAGAACATAAAAAGCGTTGTAACAGACGCCTCAAGAACCACACTAAGTGTGAAAAGTAAAATACCTAACCAAGAATGGATCACCCCAAGTATCATAGACTTAATTGAAGAAAGACGAAAATATAAACACCGGACTGACATGGAAGGACAACTGAAATATCGAAACATAAGAAACCGTATAAACAGAGAATCAAAAAAAGCAAAAGAAGAATGGCTAGAGCAACAATGTACTGAGATAAACCATCTTTTCGCAACAAAAAGGCTAGATCAAGCCTATGGAACCATTAAAAGTTTCCTCCAAACCAGTAAAACTCGCAATAATAATATTAAAGACAAGAATGGTAAATTGCTCCTGGACACAAGAGAGGTGGTAACCCGGTGGAGAGAGTACCTTGAAGAACTATATCAAGGGGATGAGTTACTGGATATCAATGAAGAAATTGATGAGAACTCTTATGGTGCACCACTATTAAGAAGTGAATTTAATGCCAGCCTTAGAGATTTAAAAAATAAAAAAGCCCCAGGAATAGACAAAATTCCAGGAGAATTACTACAGAACGCAAGTGAAAGCATAATAGATGCGATATACTATCTTATGAAAGATATATATGAAACAGGAGTAATTCCGAAGGACTTTTGCAACAGCAGAATTGTAACACTACCGAAAAAGAATAAAGCTGACTCTTGTACAGAATTTAGAACTCTGAGCTTACTCTCTCACGCATCAAAGATACTCATAAAAATTGCATACCGAAGGATATTTAATAAAGCCAACCAATATCTTGGAAATGATCAGTATGGATTCAGAAAGCAAAAGGGAACTAGAGAGGCAATATTAGGAATGAGGATCTTAATAGAAAAACAAATATCCCGAAATAAAATAACATATTTATCATTTATAGATATCGAAAAAGCTTTCGACAACATTGATTGGCAAATTATGTTCTCAATAATGAAAGAATTAAATTTAGATTTTAAAGACAGGAGAATAATATATAACCTCTACAAAAACCAAAGCGCAGAAATTACAATAAATAACGAGTCAGCTAACGCGAAAATACGTAGAGGTGTAAGACAAGGGTGTCCACTTTCACCATTATTATTCAACTGCTATATAGAAAAAAGTATAACGGAAGTTAAAGATAATCTAAACAGGCTTGGGATTGGAATAAGAGTGGGTGGTAAATTGATTCCAATGATCCGGTTTGCAGACGACATCGTATTATTAGCAAAAACAGAAGAAGACCTCCAGAGAGCCCTGGCAGAAATGCAAATAATTATAAATAAGTATCAAATGCATATAAATTCAGGCAAGACAAAAATTTTAGTCTGTGCCCGTGAACCCATAATAAACGCTAATATTTATTTAGAAAACCAACTTATTTCCCAAGTTTCCAGTTTTAAATACTTGGGAAGTTTAATAACATCAGAAGGAAGAAGCTTGCAAGAAATTAAACAAAGAATCGGGCAAGCAAAAACAGCTTTTATCAAGAAAAAGAAAATTTTGGTTTCGAAAAAAATTAACAGAGCAACAAAAAAGACATTTCTAAAAACATTTGTGTGGAGTGTCGCATTATACGGCTGCGAGACATGGGTTATTAATGAAAAGGAAAAAAGATCACTTGAAGCATTTGAAATGTGGTGTTGGAGACATATGGAAAAAATAAACCGGACAGAAAGAGTAACAAATAAAGATGTACTGACCCGAGTTGAAGAAACAAGATTCATAATTAAAGCCATAAACGACGATGGGAGATGATGCGACACGTTTTACGTCATGCCGAAGAATTGCATCATACTATAATAGAAGGTGCGATTGAAGGACGGAAACCACCAGGAAGACCAAGAAACTCGTTCATATCTCAACTGGAAAATGACGCAGGGATTGATACTTACGCCGGATTAAAAAGACTTGCCGAAGATCGTGATAAGTGGAGAGCGAAGTTAAAAATATTGTAAACCAACCCAATATAGGTTGAAAAAAAAAAAAAAAAAAAACATAATTGTAATTTAACTGTTCAATTGCTTATATAACAAATAATTTGTAATTTAACTATTAAATTGTTCATTTAACAAAAAATATAATGTCAGGTACATATTGTAACTTAACTATAGCATTTTTAACTAATTATTCTAAACATGGTTTTATGTATTCATAACGGTTTTACAATCACTGTCAATTAATTTGTTTGTTTGTACAAAATATATCTTATCATTGTAGGTACCTACTACTATTTCAACTATGTAACTAATACCCGACTTTCTGTTTAAAATATTGTTTACCTACTGTTTTTGATTTAATATATTATACATATCATAATAAATAAAACTGTTCATTTACGCACACAATTTGCTAAAATAAATTTTGAAAACGCTACTTAACATTATATTTTTTCTATAAAAACAACTTCAGTATCTTGTTCGATTGGAAAGTGAATATCGTTGGTGCATTGGGGAGGTCAAAATTTAAAATTCCCAGTAATTTTCAGAAGCGCCAAGAAGAACCAAAGAAATATTAAGGAAAAACGGGATATTTTACGCAAAATCGATTTTTCACAAAATTGAATTTGGTTTTTGGTGTAACTTTAAAAAAAATAACCGTAGATACATGAAATTTTCACTGGTTGTTTATATTTGCATTTTATATACACGATAAAATTTTCAAAATATTTTGATTTATTTTGAACTGTTTAGGGACATTTTCATTTTCCATTTTTTTTTAGTTTTTTTTCTAGAAATACCAATATAATTTTATTTGTTGGTTAAAAAAGCTTGAAAATATAATAGAAGGCTCCTAGTATATTTTTTCAAAGTCAGACGAAAATTATTAAAAATCCTTAGTCACAATTTTATTTTATAAACATTTAAAGTTAAAAAATTGCCAAAATATGGAAAAATCACGAAAATTAGCAAGTTATTTTGAGTTAAGAATTCGTAAAATTTTTTCTTTTTAAATCTAAGATTTTAAAATGTAATACAAGATTACTCATAAGTTTGACTACCTTTAAAAATAAAAAAAATCTCTACCGGAAAGTCAACAGTGTGACATATTATTTACCTACTACTGATGTGTGTTATTTGATATATAGTGGTGATATTGAAGACTCTTTAAAAAATAAGTGTATGATTTTATTAGTGTGACATAAACCTTACGATCAACTTATCGTGTAATAAATAAACCTAACCAACACAAGATTATATTCAATATGTATGATAATAATATGAGTCTTACTATATAAAACGAAAACCCATGTGGCGCGCCACGCGGTCCTTTTTCGCATCGTACTTAAGGGACGGCCAATGGGGAGCCCTCCCGTCGGCGGCGGAGCCGTCGCCGCGTTATCACTCCTCCTTATCGCTTTACGCGATTTTTCTCGAAATTCACGATTTTTTTTTCAAAACTTTCGACTCATACCCCCCTCGGGGCCTCGGTCGGCCCGGTTTTGGACCTTATTCGTTTTCTTCGGTAAATTTACAGTCGGCGCGCGGCCCTACTTTTTTCCCGGGGGGCCCAACGCGGCCGATATCGCGTGCGATACGAGCGCCGCCGTCGAGCGCGTTATTTGCCGTTTTTTTCGAAAATTCGATTCTTGGGCGTTTTAGGGCGTATCGACCCGAAATATTTTGAATTTTCTTCACGAAATTTATTCTTTAATTTTGCGTTTTCGGTAACAGTAATGAACGTCGTCCGCAATTCGACGCAGTCGGATCGCATACCTGATGACGTGCTCCAGCCATCGAATATTATCGGATTGCCTTCCAGGGTGACTACGACCAAAGTCGAGAAACGTGAATGACCAGCTAGATCCCAAATACTATAACTACGCCGAACGTCATTCGAGGTGACTGACCGGCAAGACACC